AAAAGAAAGTGAGAACCGTTCTACAGGACGGAGGGAGTATCATTTTTCGCTTTTGTTTGTGGAAAATAAATGGGGCTTTTATGTAGTCTAGAGCATGGATATTCAGAACACAGCAATTTTTAGGAGGTTTTCTTTTTTACTGCTAAATCTGTACTAATGACTCTGCATAGTACATGGATTGTGGGAATAACATTGAATAAATCCTTTCAGGCATTCTTGGAAGGAGAACGGGCCACTAGATACTTGACAGACGAGATAAGAAACGAGCTTTTAGATGGTGCCGCCTTCAAGATCACCGACTGTTACTATGAGCTAGCTTCAGACCTTGTCAATGTGGTGAGCAGATGCTGGCACACTTCCTTTTCTTAAATAAACTACTCCGTATAAGAATATCCTGAAATCTCTCCCCCTTTACTCCCCATTTTGCCTCCATTGCATTAGAAGATCTTTCTATAGGATTTCAATCTTGTGGTCTCAGGCTAGGAAAACAGAGTCTTCACTTCAGAAGATACGTTTGGGTGCTCAAAGACGGGCAGGAGCAAGCTCAGATGTCTCTGATCATAATATATCTGACACCGACAAGATGTGTATGCAGTTGTTTCTCGACATTCAGGTGCTAAATATTTTTCTTTTTCACGGAAAATTGCAATTCAGTCCCTGAATTCTTGTGGCATCATGTAACTTCTAACCTGTTTTCCGTTTTTCATAAATTTAGTCACAGTTGTTTAGAAGTCTGTTAATACATGATTTAGTCCTTCCACTATATCCTAAAAGGATGATTTTATCCTCCCAAAACAAATTTGGGTCCAGATAACACATTTAAGGACTAAATTGAGTTCTAAATTTTGTGAATCACCAAAAGTGCATCCTTATATAGAGCCAAATGTTTGAGAATTATATCGGTGCATAGCAGAGAACCAAATTTAGCCACACAAAAAGTTGACCAATTTGAGTAAAAGCTTATATTTGCGGGACTAATTGGCTCACGTTTCTACTTCCATTGCCCATATCCACTCTTTGATATGATTTTGGAAATTCTGCTGTAGTCATTCTTTCTCCCATCTTTGTGTTTATTAACAGGAATATGCACGCAACCTTTCTTCAATGGGGATAGATGCTGCTAGTATACCTTCATACCGTTCTTTGTGGCAGTGTGTTGCCCCTTCAGAGAGGCAAACCTCAATAGATTTTTAGAGTTTTATATGTGTTAGTTCACGAGTCCATAAGAGAAATTCCCCCCATGTCTGCATTTCAGCTTACTTCAAACAAGTTACTGCTTTTATCAGCAGCATTCTAAACTGAGAATATCCGAAAAGTTTGTTGGAAATATCAGAGATAATCCTTGTTGCTGTAATTTCCCCCACATATTTTTTGTATATTTGAGTTTTTTGTTTTGTTTTGTTTTATTTAACCATTTCATTTCAAGTGTTGAAGTTATTATACGGTTTTGCAAACCTGTGGGCATCAACTTTCTATTAGAAAATGATGATAATGGATTTGGATCCGCAGAGGTGCCTTGCGGCATCCAATGGCAAAGGCAATAGGGAGAAGAGAGCTGTGGGGCTGCCAAAATTGAACCGCGTGGCTAGTAAAGTCATGAACCCTACCTGGCTGCCAAATCCAGAGAATCTGGATCCTGCCTGTATAGGGGTGGTATTTGTGTGGGTGCAATGGGGTGGACACACGATTTTGAGGTGGAAGTGAAAATGGAAATGGAATTGATCAATTATGAATCAAATGGTTATATATATTGCTAGTTGTGGTTCTATTAAATGGATGATAAAATTCTGCCTGTATAGGGGTGGTATTTGTGTGGGTGCAATGGGGTGGACACACGATTTTGAGGTGGAAGTGAAAATGGAAATGGAATTGATCAATTATGAATCAAATGGTTATATATATTGCTAGTTGTGGTTCTATTAAATGGATGATAAAATTTTGGACGGCTAAAATTCGGATCTTGCTGAAATCGGATCTTGCTGAAATTGGACTTTGCATTCCGTTTTCAAAAATCTTTGTTTTTGCACCTCACGTCCTCACTCCAACCCAGTATGAAAAAACAAACATGTCCCTCGATTAGGAATAGGGCTGGACTCGGGCCGGGCGGCCCGACCCGGAACCGACCCGGCCCGCCCACTGTAGCAACCGGCCCGGCCCGGTGGCCCGGTCCACCAGCGGTTCGGGTCGAACCGGCCTGGTGGATACCGGTTCCGGGCCCGGGCCCTCCATTTGGTGAACCGGCCCGGCCGGTTCGGGCCCGGTCCGGGCTGGAATTATTTTTTTTTTTTATTTTTTTTTTGAAAATTTTTTAAGTTTTGAATTGGATTAGGTATTTTGGGCCATTTGATGTGGTTTGGGGTGGTTTGGGGTTGAGGGGGAGGGTTAGGGGTTAAATAAAAGAAGCCAAAAAAAAAAAATTAAATACCCGGGTGAACCGGCCCGGTCCGGCCCGGACCCGGAACCGTCCACCCCCGGTTCGGGCTCGGGCCTCATATTTCTGAACCGAGGCCTGAACTGGCCCAGTTCAGTCCAGCCCTAATCAGGAATATGTTGAAGGCCAATATAATTGTTTATGGAGCGGTATTTTTGCACCAAATTATTTACACCAAATTCTATAATAACTACACTACTACACTGGTCATCTGTAATAACTTAAGCTATTTATTTACATTTATTTATTTATCTTTTGCATGAGAATATATGTTGTTTTATTTCATATGACAACGATAAATGAAATAAGTAAATGATTCAACAAAATTTATATTTGTATCATATAAAATAAAACACCATAAATTCTTGTGCCAAAGATAACTAAATACATCTGATGGAATTTGCGTAATTTTATTTTAATCTATCACTCTTAATTATTGTGTGCACGATAAAAAATTATCCCAAACTACACAAATTAATAGATTTTTTTGACTTTATGTATTCTATATTAGTGTCATATGAAATATAATAAAAAGTTATGAATTTTGATACGAAGTATATTTTTTGTAACAACCAGAGTTAAAAAAAAGTTACACCACTTTAAAGAAACCATGAGATTTGTAATTTGGATGGGATTCATTACCATCAATTTTTTTAGAAATCCATTACCATCTATTATTAACTTTGGTATTACATGTTGTATTTGCCTTGCCTTACTTTTGCTAAAGCCGCCTGGCGGATCTTGTACAGGGTTAGGATGTTTTCTTTTGGACTGTTTTCAGTCCCAGACCAGATCAGACCAGACCAGACTTAAACAGACTAGACCAGAACAGTCCAGACTTAAACAAACCAGACCAGACCATACTTGCATAGTTATAAAATACACAGAGACCACATGTTTACCAGACCAGACCAGATCAGACCAGACTTAAACAGACTAGACCAGACCAGACCAGACCAACAAATTTCAATCCAAAAGAAAACATCATTACATGTTCTGTAATGTCCTTAATCACGGTTAACACAACATGCAATATTTTAGGAGTTATTTTTAACTCAACAATATTTTGAGAATCATTTATTTAATTAACATTATTTTGGAAAAAAACTCTCATAAATAAATAAGTAATGTTTATAAATTTATTATTATTGTATCACATATATAGCTATGACATGACATCATATCATATGAGTATGAATATATGGAGAATAATCTAATAATTTATTAGATTATTGTACATTTATATCGCGTAAGAGAAATATAGAGTACTCCGTAGTAAATAAAAACGTTACCTCTGTACGTACAATTATCATCTCACGCAACATGTACACTTTTGTTATAGTAATTATTTCCCTACCACTAAACATTATCTATCTATTTACAATTATCATCTACACTGTAGTTTAGTTCTCAGTTTTCACCTACAGGCTACAACCTAAAACATGAGGTCTTGTTCTATTTTGGTCTGTTTTTATTAATTGTCCTTCTTTTCATTTTCGAAAAGTTTTTTCAATAAGTATATATTCATACCCTCATTTTTGTTATTTTCATCCGTTTTTCTTTCCTATTTTTCATTTAAGCACAAATCACTACAACGTTTACATCACCCCCTATTATATATTTTCCATTTAAAACATGTGCCAAAGTTTAGGGGACTATTGATTAATATATTTTCCACATCAAGAAAAGTACGCCACATAATACAATAGGAAAGTCATATTAAAAAACTTTCTCCAATGCGGTCTTTAGATTGTATGTCGTGTTTATGTGTTAAAGAAAGTGTCAACCCCACTTTCTCATTTTACAAAGCCATTTAGACAGGCTAATTCAACATTTTGGGTGAAAAACTGAAAACGAGTGGTGCGAATTACGCACCTTGAAAACGGAAAATGTGGATATCATGTTTATCCATAGTGAGTTACTGCTAGGGAACTTAGAAATAGCCATTTATCCATTCAGTCTATTAAATTGCATTGGAAAAGATTTTAGACTTTCAATTTATTATGCTTCCACCACCTTCTTATGTGGCTTGACATTCCATACATTTTTTGACATGTGTCAATTATTTTTTAATGTTGAAAGTAGAGCATTGGAGTTGCTCTAATAATTACACATAAAAAGGTCCACACATACTCGACTAATATAGTTATGTTCACTATTTAACCATAATTACATATTGAATTCTGTCAAAAAGAAATAATACATATTGAATGTACATTACAAAAAAACACGGGATTGACACGGAAATTTGGCACGGATTACCGATTTTTCATGCCAAATAGCTCGTGCCAAAGTTTTTTTGGCATAGATTTGACATAATCCCTTCCAAAATCCCATGTTTTTTTGGTAGTGATACAAGAGTAAGTTTTTAGTGAAAGCTGCGCTGAAATATTAGTCTGTCTAATTTTTTTAAGCATAACTTTCCAATTCTAATTACCTGATAACATTAATTCAATCATTGTGACATCTATTAATATCTAAAAGCAAAATGTTCTTTGGGGTGAAATTCCCGCTCAAAACTGTCAACATCAAGTAAAACAATTTTCTAAATTACAAAAAAAAAACAATAGTTCAAGATAAAGATATATTCTTAATGATTTATGCGTGAAGGGTAGACAAGTGCCAAGTGGACAAGTGGGGAATACAGTGATATAGATATGTATCAATGTATGGATTAACACATTCACATGCTTAAAGGTAATATGTACATTATTGTTGATTACACACATCTTGAGGGGGGGATTTGGCAGGTCACACGGGCCTTAAAATGAATATAAAAATACAAATAGATTGATATGGAGTAAATATTTAAGAGCCCATGCCATGCTCACAAAGTGCAGTATCTTGATAAATCTTATGCGTGTACTTCACTCATTCAGTATCTTGATAAATCTTATGCGTGTACTTCACCCATGCATGTTTTTAGGTAACCAATTTTTTTGAATGAAAATTTTGGGTATAAAAGCACAGTTCTATCGACTGGGATGCATCACACTTGCTCGCTGCAGCTCCCATAGCAAACTCCCACAGCAAATTGTAGAATTTTTCTCCAAAAATGATTGAATTGTGGTCTCTAGTCTCTACTCCAAAATCAAAAGAGAAATGAAAGCAAGAGCTATTAGGGTGTTAGGATGACTGTGAGCCCGCTCATAATGGTCCCAATTCATTGGAAATCATATTTCATGATGAGGTTCTATGTTTTAGAGGTTTCTATTTATATCTTCTTATAAAGTTATTTTGAAATTAATTGGTCGAAAAATCTATAGCTGTCAAAGATACTTCACATTCCTGAGAAATTCATTGCTAAATTCATTGCTAAAGTTAATACAAGTAACTATTTTGCTAAATAGGAACCTCTAAAACATAGAACCTCATCATGAAACAACACACAAAAACTGTGTACTCTTCATGAAGAAAAAAAGGTTTGATTTCTATTACTGAGAATTTTTTATTTATTCCACAGGTTATAAATTGTTTATGCATTTTATAGGTGAAGGATGGTCTATTCTCAAACAATAAAATGAACACAGTAACATTTTAAAGATAAGTACGAGCATATATATGAAATACTCTGTATAAAGTTTATCATACTAAAAACTGAAATAAACAAAAAAAAAAACAGATGATTAATACCTAATTTCAGATCCAAACAAATGCCAAACGGTGAATGATAGTGTGGCCTCTACCTTTCGCGTGTGCCAACGCACAAGTTTGACCATTAATATCTTTCATTGGTATTACTAAAAAATTTAAAAAAAATGCATATTTTGAAAATTTAGAAGGAGAAGAATTTAACAATATTTTAAAAAAATTAGGTGTTTAATACATCAATTAATAAAATGTAGTCAAAGTAGAATATGTGAATAATGCAAAAAGTGCAATGTTGCAACTAAAAGAGAACAGAAATAGTATAAAAAATATTGAAGTCTATTTGACAAATAATATAAAACACCTCCTTTCAAATCTATATAAATGCAAATAGGTGAACATTTTATCTCTAAGCTACGAAATTCAGTTTTACATATGTTCGGACCTTAAGAATATGAAATAAAATGGAAAAGATAGATATATTTACCTTCATCACTGTTGAAATAGATGTATGATTTTTCGCAGTCGTCGTTGGTGTACAACACCACTTGATGAACTGACCAGTTTGAGTTCGATCTTCTGTGTTCGGCGCTGTAGATCAGAAGGCTTCACTATGAACAGGCGGTGAATGTGTTTTGTGGTTGGCTCAGAAATACGACTCTGGCGGAATAGAGGCGGCAAACCTAAGAGTAGGAGAAGCTACACCGGTGGGTGGATTTTTGGGTGAGAGTTGGTGGGAGCAGCAGGGACGGAGGAGTGGATCACTGGATTGTGGTGACTGGAGGGGACAGAGTAGGAGGAGTTGCGGAGGGAGGTGTCGCATATGAAGAAGACGGCGTAGCAGCCGGGCATACAACTGGAGTCGACGCTTTCTTCGGGGAAGACACCGGAGACCTAAAGCAGATCAAAGCCATATTTTATCCTCAAATCTAGAGATGAGATCTGGATAGAAAATGAGCAATCTAGATCCGACGTACAAAAAAGTGGCTTTTGGTTTAGTGAAGTATATGCGGAGCAAGTATATGGTGGCTTTCTCTATTTCCTAATGCTTTTTCCTTTTTTTTTTTTAAATAAAGCTCTTTTTAAAAGTGATTTTGGATAATATGATTAGTAGTAAAAGTTGTGTTTGAGAAGAACGTGAATTTGAAAAGTAAAGCTGGGTCATGTTTGGTAAAATATGTGCTTTTTGTATAATAAAAATAGTAAAAATACTTTTCAGTCAAAAACCAAGAAATGCTTTTTTAAGTGGAAATTGTCATCTGAAAATACCAATTTTAACTTTTTAAGTCAAAAGTCGAGAAACGTTTTTTAAGCTCTTGCAAATAGAGGCTTGGTCAATTCAATTGAAAATATAAAAAAAATTGAGTCTGTTGGATAACTTTTTATTTTATTTTATGGGCCTTAAGAGTCAATATCTATTATCTATTATAATATAAAAGCAAAACAATTTTGGGCTTAAAAAACGAATGGGTTCCCGAGGGTTTTTTGTGCAAAATCTCCAAAAATGGGGCCCCTACGTGTGAGCTTTTGGGATTAAACAAATGGATAAGATCGGCTCAGCCACTGTATAGATTTCTTTAGGATTTGCATCTCTCTATGTCCGATTTCTAAAATGTGTTGATTCTTAAGCATTCTTATTAACAACTTCAAATGTTAACCGTGCGATGCACGATCAGTCGATAAGATACAGATGTACTATGACTGTAGATATGTTTCTGCGTGCGAGGCTGCTTGGCGCATATTTGGGTTTGAAATTCAATACAAGACCCCGACAGTTGAACCTTTGAGCTTCCATATGCCGGAAGAACAAAGTGTTGTCTTTTGCGATGATCAGTCTCTCGATTCAGTGATTCGGGCATGTTCAGTTAAGGACAATATGTTCACAGCAAGGATGAAGGGTAATAATAAGTACCCGAAAGTAATGCTTTAGTATTGTGATGTCAATGCATATTTACAATGCTATGGTTTCAATGTATTTGTTAGATGTTTTTAATCTTTTAAGTAGTACTTAGGGGGTGTTTGATTCTGTTTTTGTTTCTTTTTTAAAGCAGAAGCAAAATCAGTTTCCAGAAGCTAGCATACCCCAGCTTCTAAAAAACTGATCCTAGGAGTAAATTAGATCACAAGAATCACTTCTGCACTTTCACCAAAATACTGTAACTTCTGTTTCTTCTCTTTGAAGGAGCAGAGCAGTTTTAAGTATGATGGCTCAAAAGTAGAGAATAACTCCCGGTTTGAGCAAATATTCCGGGTAGCACCGGTGTCCACAAACCACTCCTTGGAATTGGATCCAACGAGGTTGACTTCCGTCACCACGGTCGCTAGGATGATGTCTTCATCCTTTTGCCCACCTTGCACCAAGTTGACGTGAGAATCTTTCTTTCTCTTTGGTGCCTTGCAATCCAGGGACTTGTGTCCATTTTTATTGCAATTGAAGCATTTTCCATTGAACTTTGTCTTGGAAACGCCTCCCTTGGGACCGAGCTTGCTCTTCCCATTATTTTTATTTTTGGAGCTTTTTGCATGCTCCACCACATTGGCCTTGACGCCATGAACAATTGGGAGTTTCCCATCATTCTTCCGGTTATCCTCTTCAATCCGCAGACGGAGGATCAGTTGTTCCAAGTTCATTTCCTTTCGCTTATGCTTAAGGTAGTTCTTGAAATCCTTCCAAGCCGGCGGCAATAAATGAATAATTGACGCCACTTGGAACGACTCACTAACTGTCATTCCTTCATCTCGAATTTCGTTGAAGATCATTTGCATCTCCTCAACTTGACTCAAGACCGTCTTCGAATCCACTATTTTAAAATCAAGGAATCGACCAACAACAAATTTCTTTGCGCCGGCATCCTCGCTTTTATATTTGTGGTCCAAAGCATTCCATAGCTCCTTAGCCGTATCTCTTGAGGATTTTTGGACGACATTCGTGTCCGCAGGTCGCCTGCGCACGCAAGTCGCGGTTTTTCTTCTCCGAATTCGGGATTTGATTTGCACCCCCCCTGCGCGCGTGGAGAGAGCCTTTACCCTTAAGAATCTTAACTCCATAAGGGGGGAGTCCCTTTATAAAGGGTAGCAAATCCCTTGGGTTTTCCGGTGTGGGAAATTAACACAGTAGAAACCCATCCTTTTTCCCTTCTAACGGGTAAACTTCGAAAAGCGATTTCTCATTCACCCGTTATCCGTTTTGAGCGTACCATATATCGAATTGTAGCCCTTAACAAGGATAATCCGAAACCACTTTGACCCGACCCAAATCGGAAGTGGACCTCACTCAAAAAATTGCCCCAAAATAGCCATTTAATGCAATTTTCACACATTTTTTCAACACACTTGGAATTTAAAAAGTCATTTCGAGAATTGCTCTTCTATATGTATTATTGGGAATTCTAAGGGTCACTCCTACAATGACTTCTTCAAAACTAAATATTTTTATTGCGCACTTCCGTAGTATTTATTCCAGACTATATCAGCAATACACTAATAATGAAAAGCCTGTTAATATGCAAGGCCCTTGGAACTTGGTTAGGCAATGGCCATGCTCACAAGGTGCCAAATATAGTTACCCTTTCCACATATTTGCACCCCCTGATTTGCCTGTTTAGCCAGACAATTCATTAAACCAGTGCAATTCGTATAACCTTATTACTTATTTATTAAAATAATTTACCAAATAACTGTGATTTCTTTAATCCCGAGAACCACCTATTTTAGGTGTGATAAATGTTGGGGAACATTTATCAAATTTATCAATATTATTTTTAATATTTAGTGATTAACATGTCATTTATGATTGTTTCTTTTTAAATAAAAATAAGAACCTTTATACGGGGCGTCCCAAACAGGAACTGAAAATGTTTCTACGAGACGAAGGGAGTATATTTCATGTTATGTCAAACTGTATTAATATATAATTCTAAACTATTCAATTAAAAGTACAAATTTATTTTTATGTCTAATTTGACTGAAATTTTACAAATAAAATTTCACCAACCGTGGTGAAATTTGACAAACTTGGTGAAATTTTACTAGAGTTGTGAGAAAGTTGTTGTGCACCTATATTTTTGTCAATAGATCTTTTATGGCGATTGTTTTGAAATTATTTCGAAGGAAGGTAAAATGGGATAGAAATTCTCCGACCGTGCATCGCACGGGTGATTTACTAGTAAAATGAATAACAATCTCATAATTAACACGTAAGATGTATAATCGTGTCTTATTTAGGTCAGCTTCCATTTGTCATTATGGATGTTTTTACTTGGACTGTAATTTGCTGGTCTGGTCTGGTCTAGTCTGGTCTGGTCTGAACTGGTCTGATATGGTCTGGTAAGGTCTGGTTTCTTTGTATTTTTATAACTATCCAAGTCTGGTCTGGTCTGCTCTAGTCTGGGACAAATTACAAATGTGTAAGTGTGAACATTAGACTTATTTGAATTTCATACATCGAGTGAGAATTATGTGTACCATACTTGACTTACTTATGATAAAAAAATAAGTACAAAAAACGGAATATAATTTAATACAGATCTATGTACTACCTCCGTTCTTAAATAAATGCAACAGTCAACATTTCACATTTGTCGAGGCATAACTTTGACCATTAATATATATAACTCTTTATTAGTAAAAAAATTTAAAAAATCAGATTTTGAAAATTTAAAATGAGACAAATTTAGTAATATTTTTTTCAAAAATATATAGTAATACATCAATAAATAAAATGTAGTCAAAGTAGAACATGTGAATAGTGTAAAATTTGCAATGTTGCACTTATTTAAGAACGGAGGTAGTATATAATAAACAAACGGCATAGAAACGGCATAGAATGGTATGGGAACAAACGTCCATGATCCACTTTAATTAGATCATGGAATGGTATGCAAATAAACATCCATAGATGGGAATAGCACATGGTCACATAGTGACATGGGTGGGTATTGTTAAACGGGTATTCAATGGTCGTACACATAATTTGTAAACATAATCTGAATATAAATCATATGAAAAGTGAGATTAGGAAATAAAAAACCATTGGCAAAGCTTCGAAATGGCATAAATCAGCACTCAAGGTCAAACAAATCCGATAGAGCCGACAGAAAATTTGAAAATGAACAGTACCAAATTTCTAAAATCGTCAAGAAGATTGCCAAAAATTAGCTACAGACAACTTCTGAAATCGAGATTAACATTGTTGAATCACACAAACATTGATATGCCTTCCCGATTGACACAGTTATCTTCAAGAATTCATTTCAATGTCTTCCCGATTGAAATTTTAGCTGAATTTTGGTATGAGTAAACTAGACTTGATGAATAAGATGTTCAAAAAACTTCATCAAAAAATTCCACCGGGAACCACCCCAAATGACGACGGTCAGACAGAGTCTCCTAAATAAGGGCTTATTTGACTTTTTTTGGTTAGTACATGGGCCTATTTGCACCTTTTCCCAATGAATTATAATCAAAATTGCTTCCAAGATATGACAAACTCAGATTGATATATTGATTTTAAATTGAGCATAAATTATCATTTAGTTAGTTATTCATCAACCTCACCCATTTTGAGCATTTGAGGGGTTTCGGAGAATCACAAAAACTTTCCAACATCATTCATCCAATTTTTTAAAACTGCTACAAAAATTGAAAAGTTCTCTAACACCATTTTGACAATACGAAACATTTATTTATAAAAGTTTAAGGACCATGCATAAAAATACTTGAACTGAATTTTCCAATAAATCTCTCTCCAACACACAAGAAGTGTCAAAGGCCAAATTTTGCATTAATTTTGTATTAATAAGGAATGAAAAACATTAATGATCAAATTTGTGTTTTGGCATATTAAACGTAATAAGTGGACCAATGCAATTAGAATTAAAAAGAACATAGGAAGTATATATTATAATTATAATTAATGATGCTAAGAATAATTTCTTACTACGCATTTCTTTTAGTTGTAGGATAAATAATTGTTTTACTCCCTATCATTTATTACTTCGTCTATAATAAGAAATTAAAGTTCATCGGTGCATGCATGGAATTGTAAGCCTGACACGTTTTATTTTGGGAAACCTTATTTAATTTCAGTGAGCCCCCCACCTCCCCCTGCTCCTATCCATCCTTGCCCTAGTAGGACATTAACTACCTAGTACCGAGTAATTATTACTCCACTCAACTTTCCATTGAAATAAACATAAAGTGAAGTTTACATTCTTCATCTATAATGTATATATAAGTGCAGCCTAACTTCATATCCATCTTCACTCTACTCACAGCACTAGTTTACTAACTTCTCTACTCTCACAGTCTCACCTTTCCTCAATTGCCTTTAATTTTACTCAAGAGTCTGGTATCATCATCAAGCTGAAAATGGGTTTTGGTGTCAAAAGGATGCTCCTACTGATCACACTTGTTACATCCATGGCCATGACCAAAGAGAGTAAGCATTCACATCTGATCTTATGTGTTCTAAGCTAATTCTGAGCTTTTTCTTATTATATATTGACATATTGTAAGTGTGCAATTATTTCTAAATTACTTCTCTAATCTTTATTAGTGGGTGCAGAAAGTGTGTTTGCTCATGACCCCTCATATGCTGTGGGCAGTATCAATGGTCAGTGTTAATATTTATGTTTTATGTACGAATAAATTGATCACTGTGTCAAGTTTCAACATACACTAATTATGTTCTTGTTAATTGGGTTGGAATAAAAAGAATTGTTCTAATTACTTGAGCATTTATGTAGGGTATTCTCAGATCTTGACCGGTCCTTTCTCCCCAAGGGTAATTTGCATCATGCCTTTTATTTGCTTCCTAAATTTGGCGTAGGTTAGAATAATTGACATGTAAGATATAGTATTAAAAATATGATCTTTTAACTTCTTTTATTGGTCTTTATTTGAAAATTCTGCAGGTCAGTACGGAGGGGAGCTGCAACGCCAACATTGTCTTCAACCTTCTAATCGACTGTGTTCCGTTCTTCCTGGGCACATCTTCGATTCCAGCAGTGACTTGTTGCACTGGAGTTGAAGTCGCAGTCAGAACAGATGTGGAGTGCTTTTGTGCTGGCCTCACTGATATCTTGGCTCATTCTGGGCTAGTGTTTAATGTCTCCATGGGATTAGATCTCCTCAAAGAATGTTACAGTCCCATATCTTACTCGATAATCTCCAACTGTGGTAAGCTTATTACTACTACTGCAAGTCTACAAATTACTAGTACGATAGTATATATATAGTCCCTCAATTATGCATAGTAGAATGTAGTTAAAACATACACTTACGAAATCTAAAATTAAATAACATTTCAGTAATATATACGAAGTATTACTCTCCGTATATGAAAATTATATTGGTATTTAACCGTCAAAGTAAACAAAAATTGATTAAAAAGGTCAAATGTAAATTTAATTGTGGGTTAAGGGAGTATATTATGGGCTTGTTGCTATAGTTATTACTTATTCCTTCAAAATACGTACGTAGTATATTGTTAGCACATCATTACTCATTAGTGCATGCATGGAATTATAAGTGATAAGCCTAACTTGTTTTGAAAAACCTACTTCGTATTTAATTTTAGTGAGCCCCCCACCTCCCGCTCCGGTTCATCATACCCCTGGTAAGATATTAAGGCTTTGTTTGCAACCACTTGTGATTAAATAAAAGCACTTTTTGAGAAAAAGTGATTAGTAGTAAAAGTTGGTAGTGTTTGGTAAAATAAGTGCTTTTTCATAAAATAAGTGCTTTTTTCCTTAAAAAAAGGCAAAAACACTTATAAATAGAGTTTGCAAACAGAGCCTAACTACGTAATATGTACCCGTAGTAATAATTACTACCTCCGTCCCCCAATGTTTGGGACAAGAGAAGGTGGCACAGTTATTAATAAAAGTGGGTTTATGTGGTTGATATTGAATTGATAAAGTAAGAATAAAGTAAGAATGATTTAGAACCACACAAACTTTACCAAATAAGGTATGAGACAATGTTAATGGACGGACCGAAATGATAAAATGGGACAATCATAGCGGGACGGAGGGAGTACGTAGTATTACTCTCGTTTCAATTCGAAACATAAAGAAAAGTTTACGCTCGGTCATTATGAGTTTGCCTTTTTCAAATTACAGTGGGTCCATCTCCGACTCCCAGCCCTATTACTCCTGCTCCTACTCTGGGTAAGACACTTGATATTATACTTCTATTTAAAGGTGGATGATTAATTATTTCCTTAATTGTGTGATACAAAGTACTAGTATATTATTGTTGAGTTGTGCATGGTGTACACTTTTTTTCGTATACTTGTTTCTCTCATGCACAGAGAGTTGTCCATGATGTGTACACAGAGAATTCTGTAGAATTGTCTATGTTCAGACAACTCTATGTGTGTGAGACAGATGAATGTAAGAAAGGTGTACACGAAAAAATGTACACGAAGCACAACTCAACAATAATACTATCGTATACGTTTACTCCTTGTGATCCCCTATTTAGTTAACAACTCTTCTAGTTAAAAAGGTAAACTTTGATCAACCGTTTTAATATCTAATACTATCGTACAATGTTTATTTTTTGCGAACTTTAAATTTTTTCTTTTATGATAATATTAATAATAAAAATATTTCTATATCATTTTTGTATTGTTAGTACTTACACATGAAAATGATGTTATTAGTCAAAATTTCACATCGCCTGGAAAAGTATGTTTAACTAAAAAGAGACAAGATAATAAAGTATTACTACGTATGATGAGTGCATCCATGAAATTGTAAGACTGACAAGTTTTGTTTTGGGAAACCTTATTTAATTTCAGTGAGCCCCCCACCTCCTGCTCTTATTCCTCCTTCCCCTGGTAAGACATTAACTTCGTATATATGGTAGTAATTATTACTCTAGTTTCAATTGGAAACATAAAGTAATCAAAGTTAACACTTATTATGACTTTGATTATGATGACTTGCTTCCCCCTTTAAAAAATTTCAGTGGGTCCAACTCCCAGTCCTATTACTCCTGCTCCTACTCCTGGTAAGACACTTCATATTATAAAGCTAAGGTGATCCAATTGATTTGTTATTTCTTTAGGGTGTCTTTGGGAATTTGGAGGGAGGGAGGAGGAACGGAAAGATTTGAAGATTAGCCATGAGTGAAGAAGGGGAGATCAGGAAGTGAAAAAAATCTTAGTATCATTTGGGTTCGGTCGTAAAATTATAATTATATTAAAACCGCTTAAGATATATATGGAATTCAAATAGTTGAACTTGTATGCATTTTAAATTTAGTTAAAATTATTATTTATTTTGTTATCTCTTAAAAACATTCAAATTGGTGGAACTTAAAAATTGAACATTTGAATGGTTTTGAAGAGTTATAAAAGCCTTCCAAAATCATCCTCTCCAATTTTTTAAATTCCCAAAAACAAATACGTAATAGAAGGGTTATCAACTCTCACATGCTTTTCCCTTCCCTCAAAAACCAACTCCTAAACACACCTTTCATTTTATAAAATATTGTACTAGTATATTATTACTTATACTCCGAATGTGAGATTTTCTAAACGTTTAGGTATTCTATTATTTCTATAGACAATTACTTGTACATATATAAAACAATGATAAGCATGCATGTCGGTATATATGTATGTGATCAAACGGAGAAAAAATGTGTTTATAAGTCAATTAAACGATTCCATTTACGTATTTATTCAATATATGTAATTTAAAGGAACATATGTATGGAGGTGTGACTTGTGAGCCCGTAATGATATTAATTGGTATTGTTAAATGATAATTATTTTTCAACTCAGGTGATGCTGACGTGGTCAGTCCAACTTTTGTAACGATCGACAATAGAGCAGGTACGTGTATAATGTATATGTACACGATGAATTAAGTTGAACAAGTTTAATTATTATTTTTTAAATTGTTCAATTAATGTTATACTATTTATAATTTATTCGATCACGTTGAAGAAGTTGATCATTAAATTCGATCATTAATTATTGTACAGACTGTATATTTAACATTTGAATTCAATGTATGTAGTTTGCTTGGGAGGGAATAAGGCAGCATACTATTACGTCCCAGGATTCGGCAAAGGGGTCGAAAATTGGGTTGTATATCTTCCTGTAAGCTACCTACCTTCTCTTTGTTTTTTCTCTTTAATCAAGTATCACATATATTCCTAATACGTACGGTAACAAATTAGTGCATTATTTATGTGCTATTGTACTGTACGTGCCCGGTGCCCCATAATGTATTATGATTATGATATACTACGTGCTACTTAGACAACTTAGTGTAGTATTGTAAGGATCGTATATCCGTCTCCGGCTCAGGTCTTTCTACACACTCTACTCACATACACCACACTAGGGGAAGCTATAGCACACCTATTCTCTTTACTCTCTTCTTCTTAACCACAAAGGAACTCACAAAGAGGAAGAAGGAAGACACTGCTCTCTGGAAGTGTTACTCTCTCGCAGGCTTAATTCACAAAGGAGGAAAGAGTGTTGACTTATAATAGGCAACCAGCCTATTGAGAAGTCACGGGTAAAGCATTAATAGTACACTCACGGGTGTGAATAATGGAACTCACGGGTATAAGCCAAGACAAATGGGAGTGCAGCGGACAGCAAGCAATGGGGCATACCAGATAAGTCAAACAGGTATATAATTGATCAGATAATATACCAGGTAAAAGGTATCAAAGAGGGAGTAAATTAATAGGGTGCAAGCCTCAGCTAATAAAGTGGAAGGGAGGCCTTGGTAGGACCAATACCTCCAACAAGTATAATTTTGATGAGGAAGATAAGTAAATAAGTGAAATATTGTATTAAATTGTACGTAGGGGGGCGGATGGTGTAAGAATGTAAGTGACTGTGAAGATTATATCAACACTAAAGGTGTGGGTTCGCCAGCAAAACCAATGCCCTTTAATGCTATTCTAAGTTCTAACAAGGAGAACAATCCTGGTAAATATACATTTTCAAACCATTCCATATAAGCTTTTCTTCATTTTCCTCTCTTTTCTGTATTTTATATTCTTGCTCTTGATCTGATGAGAGGCTTTAATTTTGTTTATTGCATGAAAATCGTGCAGAATTTTTTGATTGGAACAAAGTTGCTATTCGATATTGTGATGCATCTTCATTCACAGGAAACTCTGAAATAACAACGCCAAGTGTAAGAATTAAGATAGCCCTCATCACCTTCAATTCTTTCACCTTCTCCTTATTTTTTTTTTGTTCTTGATTATATTCTTTAGAAAGATTTAGCAGAAAAGAAAACTGACTTCCTTTGAAGACTGGATATGGGAGAGATAACACATACTGACATACATTAAAGACATCAGATATGCATCTACACATACAGCATGTTTTTAGATGTGTTGAACTTGTTGCAGGGTACAAAACTTTATTTTAGAGGAAGGGTCATTTTCGCTGCTGCCATGCAAGAGTTGTTTCAAAAAGGGATGGGAAATGCAAAGAATGTAGGCATTACTATTTTATTTTGTATTTAACTTACGTACTAAGCATGATTAATACTATAGGCTGCAACATACTCGGACTCAGTGGTAGAAAGGGCCACTATAGGCTGTAGTTGAGACTTCCAACTAATGCAAGAGCCACACAAAGTAAAAACATAAGAAGTGGTCGACTTCCTGTTATCTCTATCATTTGCATAGTTAGAATCAACATAACCAATCAATTCAATACCACTAGCACATTTAGAGAAAATTAATCCATGCTTCACAGTAGAAATCAGATATCTAAGCAACCACTTAAGAGCATTCCAATGGGGCAAAACAGGGTTGGACATATATCTACTCAAGCAACTAACCGCATATGCAATATCAGGTCTAGTGCTAACCATAAGATACATCACCGACCCTATTGCGCTGGAATAAGGCACAGATTTCATTTTCTCAATTTCAGGAGCAGTCTTGGGAGACTAGTCCTTACTTAACACAAAGTGAGATGCCATAGGGACATTAATAGGAGAAGCAGATAACATATTGAATTTACTCAAAACTTTTTCTATGTAAGAAATCTGATTCAAAGTAAGAGTACGCTTACTCCTATCCCTAACAATGTTTATGCCTAGGATCCTCTTGGCATCACCTAGGTCTTTCATGGCAAAATTCGCACAAAGACATTTTTGCACATCTTTAATAGCATTCAGAGAAGGACTAATTATCAGCATGTCATCCACATAGAGTAACAAAAATACAGGCACAGAGGAAGTATTCTTGAAATACAGGCAATGATCACAAACAGATTTCTGGAACTTCAAAGATATCATGCATTTATCAAATTTGATGTTCCACTGCCTAGGGGATTGCTTCAGGCCATACAATGCCTTCCTAAGCAAACAGACATGCTCACTTCTCTTGGGATCCACAAAGCCCTCAGGCTGGGTCATATAAATTGTTTTATCCAATTCACCATGCAAAAAAGCAGTAGTTACATCCATCTGTTTCATTTCCCAGTCATGGTGAGCAACTAAAGCAAGCATCATACGAATAGTGGTGAATTTAACAACAGGAGCAAAGATTTCTGCATAATCTACCCCCTCTTTTTGAGTAAACCCCTTCGCAACCAACCTAGCCTTAAACCTAACATCACTAGGTTCTTCCTTAACCTTAAACAACCACTTACACTCAACTACCGAACAGTTGGGGGGTCTAGGTACAAGGGTCCAAGTCTGGTTTACTCTCAAAGAGTCCATCTCACTTTTCATGGCACTAATCCATTTCTGAGACTCTTTGGAACCTAAGGCTTCACGGTAGGTCTTGGGTTCATTCAGCTCTAGGGATTCAAACACAGAAAATGCAAACATAGAAGTATCATGCACAATGAAAGCATAATCAGGCATACTATCAGCAGTTCTCCTGATAGCCCTTCTACTCCTATCTCTAGCAAGTTGATAATCATGCAAATTATCACTACTAGGCTCCACATGCAACTCATGCAAATTATTGTTATCATGAAAATCAGATTCAGCACCCATATCATGCAAATCATGCTCAGTATCATGCAAATGCTCCACCTCACTCGAGGTGGTGGGACTATCATGCTCAGAGGAATCAGAATCATGCATAACAATATCATCAGAAATAACAGGATCAACAGATAAAGGACTAGCAGCAACAGGGACAGACTCCACCTCACTAGGAGTACTATCAGACCTAGACTCAGGATTAGAAACAGACTCGGTCAAGCAAGGAAAATCAGTTTCATTAAACACCACATTTCTGCTAAGGACCACTTTAAAGCCTACCTGGTTCCTATCCCATAACCTGTAACCCTTTACCCCCTCTGGATAACCTAGGAAGACACACTTCTTAGACCTAGGATCCAACTTGTCACCCTGTTGGTGTGCATAGGCTGCACAACCAAACACCCGAAGGTTAGACAGATCAAGAGGCTTACCGGTAAAGACGGCTTCAGGACACTTACCACCAAGAGGGACAGACGGGGACCTATTAACCAAATAGGCAGCAGTAGTGACTGCTTCACCCCAGAATTTCTTAGACAAACCAGAGGTAGCTAACATGCTTCTAACCTTATCCAACAGAGACCTATTCATTCTCTCTGCTATCCCATTCTGTTGGGGAGTATAAGGCACAGTTTTGTGCCTTTTTATCCCACAATCCACACACAGCTTATCCATCTCCTTATTACAAAACTCTAACCCGTTATCGGTCCTAAGGGTTTTAACCTTCCTGCCAGTTTGGTTTTCAACTAGGGTTTTCCACTCCCTAAACCTTACAAACACATCAGACTTGTGTTCTAAAAGGCAAACCCACACCTTCCTAGAGAAATCATCAATGATAGAAAGGAAATATTTCCTACCCCCGTGGGTAGGAACACTGGCAGGACCCCAAACATCGGCATGAACATATTCAAGCACAGACGAACACTTAGACAGATTAGGGTAAGAGGAAGGAGGGAAGCTGACTCTATGCTGCTTGCCTAACACACATGATTCACAGAAAGGCACAGAAGTCACAGAGTCCTTACCAAAATAACCAGCCCTACGCATGACATCTAAACCCTTATTGCTCATATGTCCTAGCCTATTATGCCACAAAGAGGTCTTATCAGAACATACAACATTCACAGACTCAGCAAAAGGTTTAGCATGACACACATAAAGGTTATTCACCTTCTCAGCTTTAAACAGAACAAGCGAGTTTTTCAGGATTTTCATACAGCCATTCCCCCATTTTCCCTGTAACCCACTACTCTCCAAAGCAGCAACAGATAACAAGTTATGACACAAATCAGGGACATGCCTCACATTCTTAATGGTAAACACAGAGCCACAAGAAAATTTCAGACATATATCACCAACACCAAGCACATTGCATCTCTTATTATCAGCTAAGGAAACGTAGCCACTATCACATAATTCATAAGTAGAAAACAAATCTCTAAAGGGGGACATGTGATAGGTACAACCAGAGTCAATCAACCATTCATGCTCAGACAGGGAATTTCTCACAGAATTAACATGGTCACAAACCATCAAAATATCACCAAGGTCACATTTATCAACAGCTACACTAGCATGCTCGGTCTTCTTAGGGTGGGGGCAATCCTTAATGAAATGGCCAGTGTTACCACAATTGTAACACACTCTCTTCCTAGATTTACTCCTCTTCCTCCCAGACTGACTAGCGTTCTTACCCTGACTATTTTGCTTAGAGTTCTTAGACCTACCCTTAGATCTACCCCTAACAAACATAGCCTCACCGGAGTCCCTGGACTGACTAGCACTACCCCTAACATGCTTCAGGTCTAATTCCTTACTCCTTAACCCATTCACTACAATGTCTAATGAAATCTCATCCCTACCGTACTTAATAGCGGACTTAACATCATTATAAGAGTCGGGAATGGCATTAAGTAATACTATGGGAGTATAATCATCTATGTGTTTATCACCTGCCTGTTTGATATTCTGTATCAGTTTATTAAACACATCCAGGTTCTCATCTATATCCTTAGTCAGGTCAAGCCTAAACCTAAAGAATTTTTCTAGTAAGAACAACTTCCCGGGCAAAGAGGTATCAGTATAGAGACTATCCAATTTCTCCCACAACTCCTTAGCAGACTCAAGAATACCTACTTTCCTAAGCACAGAATCAGACAGATTCAAGTAAATAGTAGAACAAGCAGTTTCGTTCATTTCAATTTGCTTAGCCTTATCTTCTGATTCTAGGAAAATACCGGTGACAGCTCTGAAAACTTTTTGCTGTATTAAAACACACTTAATTTTCTGTTTCCAAATATCAAAATCTGTTTTTCCATTAAATGGAAGCATACCATACTGATTTGCAGCCATGGTATCAACCACAAAGGAACACAAAGCTAAACAGATAGAAATGACAGAAAATAATCCAACCCGGGTTATAAAGTATTCACTTTAATAACCCCGGGCAGCATGCAACACATAGCAAAAAATGGACATTTTGGCAATTAAACAATTCCGGGCAGAAAATTAATCCAACCCGGGTTATAAAGTATTCACTTTAATAACCCCGGGCAGCATGCAACACATAGCAAAAAATGGACATTTTGGCAATTAAACAATTCCGGGCAGAAAATTAAATTTAATTAATTCTACCCCTACCACCCAATAAACCACCCCTACGCATAACAATTAAATTTAAATAACACAAAGCAATTTAATTGATTAACTAAAACAGTCTACCACAAAGGAGAAAGTTTAGTACGTACCTGGGGGGTTGGCGGCCGGGATTAAATCAACCGGCGGCCCGCGGGGAGGGGGAATAAAAATTAAATTAAATTAAAACCGGAATGTAACAAATGGGAAGTTTACAGAAAACTTACCTTCGCGAAACCCTAGGAGAGCGTTTCGACCTTACCTACCCAATTTAAAAAAAATTGGGATTTTTCTGAAGGAGTTGACTGACTGTTGACCGGTGTTGACTGACGTTGACCAGCGGTTGACCGGCGTTGACCAGTTGACCCAGTCCAGCAGTCCAAGTCCTAGCAACAAAGCAGTGGCCCAGCTTCCAGCTCTTCAACAACAAACCAGCAGCTTCAGCGGCCCAATCAGTAGGAACCCAGGTCCAGAAGCCCACTACCCCACTTCGCCTCCAGTCAACCCAGCGGACCAGAGGAATAACGAAGCAGAGTTCTTCGTCCCTGTTCCCTGCGCGAGATATGCGAACAACAACGAGACTCCCACCAAACGAGTAGCGACCTCGATGGCGGAGCTCTCAGGCGACGGACCGGTGACCGGTGACTCCTGCGGTTGATTCAGGCGAGCAATTCCCCTGCGGCGGCGAATTCCGGGCAGATGGAATCCAGACCTCCGACGATGGTTTTGAGCTTTTTGGCGATGAGTTGGTGGATTCCACCTTCTGGCCGGCTTGATTTCAACAGCAGAGACCAAGGTGGAAGGCCAGCAAGCTCGTGCGACCCTCCAGGCAACTCCAGGAACTTCCGGCGAGCTTCAATTGACTTCGGCGGCGGGCGGCGGCGGCGGACGGCGGCGGACGGCGGCAGACGGCGAACTCCGTCTCTGATACCACTGTAAGGATCGTATATCCGTCTCCGGCTCAGGTCTTTCTACACACTCTACTCACATACACCACACTAGGGGAAGCTATAGCACACC